GTCCCGCCCCCCCCCCTATCTTCTTTGTTCCACGCACAGATTCGCGTCATGGTTCCAATGTTGTCGTTGCTATTTCTTCCATTGATTGCTTTCGGCACTGTACGTGAGGGAATCATGTATCCCAATAGGTCTGAAATCGGCATTGAGGGAATCAAGGGTATCATGCTCAAACCCTATTTCATGCTGTACGGTGAAGTATATGCCGGAGAGATCGATCGTAAGTTAACACATTTGCTCTCGTCGTTGCATATATCGCACCCTCCATTTTGTTTCCGTCACGAAACAGACGCGTTTGTTTTTTGCCCAGTTTTTGGATGTTTTTCCCAAATTAAACTAAAAATAGCTTGGTTTATTCTTTCTCGACAAAAGCGGTTTCATTGAGAGGACGAGGCAGCCGATATCAGACGTTTTTCAGCCTTAATGCCTTAAACCTTAATGCACTAAAATGCCGTTATTGTTTTCGCAAACTAAAAATGAGCTCAGCTAGGTACATCAGTGAATGCTACATACTGACCATCTTAAAATGTCATGAAACTGCCCTCGACACTATGATTACACAGCACAGGTTTGACTCACTGGTCGAGTAGATCTGGCATCTTGAACACGAGAATTTTGTTCGGAGAACTTTCGGTATCAGGAACACCGGTCCTCAGAACATCAAGCATAACGTTTTTAGTTCCTTTGGCTTGTGAGTTCCTCCTCTGATAACCAGGATTCATTCTACCATTTGAATTTCCGAAGCGTTGTGGCAAAATAGCTTGTAACACTAGTATTGCCCGGTCTGTAATCTGTTTAATCAAGATTTACTGAATACCATACCCTCCTTTTCAGTCTACCATTACTTCACTTTTATCTTCTATCCTAACCTATTTTTCCGTTGCCCAATATATCTCCAATCGAATTGCTAACGTTGCAAATTTTACTGTCGTCTTATTCACTTCGGATATACATTTCACATTGTATAATTCAAAACGCGTGAACCGACTGTCTCATAACAACAGGAGGACTTGAAACGTACAGTCCAAATCTTAATGGTCCGTTTATATTTTAAATCTTATTGTGCAAGGTGAATTTTGTGCTGTTCCAAGGCCAAAGTCCACTTGCACATTCACAAGCAATTCGCCACGTATGTATGAACGCAGCGTTAAGTCCCTGGGCCGAATCCACGTTAATGATTTTTTGGATCGATAGCTGATAAAGACGTTTCGGGGGGAAGCTCTAAACTGGCCAATCCTCACTCGAAAACACAACTCATTGGTTATAGTTGGTTTGTGAGACCTAGCATCAGATCTCGAAATAAGTGTTAGCTCTTCGCACCTGGTAGTCAAGCATATCCAACAGAAAGAAACGAAACAAACGCATCAGGTGATTAATTGAAACTGTGTGTGGAGATCTGTAATGCGGCGTAATACATATGCAATAAAATTCATACTCTGGGAACATACCACCTTACTAATTTGCCAAACATCGAATGGTATGCATCGTTTTTGGTTCAACTAAAGATTTGTGACTCGATTCATGCTCGGAAGTTCTTTCTACCTTCTGGTGTGATGATCGTACAGGTGTTGGGATGGAATTTATTGACTGCGATTCATAACGTGCACTGGTCGCACTGTAAACATTTCAAAACACTTCTTTGCTCGTGGTTCAGTCTGTGTTCGATACAATTTTCAATACCGTATATCACTACTCAGGCGATTGGTGATGAGCCAAACCGATTGTAGAAGTCTGGCATCTATCCGACTAATAACTCTGCATGAATGACATCATTTACGATGGTCAACGGGAAACTGAGTTTATGTGAATTGCTTCGCGGATCTAAATGCACCTCAGGAGAATCATCGGTAACTAGTGCTATTACCAGTGGAAATGTTCACAAACTTATCTATTCGCTTTAATGTTAGGGGAAGCGTCGGCCTCATCGGTGTGTCTTGTCATGGTCGCTTAGGTACGGCGATCCGAGGATGATCCAGGACAGATCACAGTCCCCGAAGGACGGCGGTTTTCACTCCGTCCCGCCGTCTTACCGACCACGCTTTGGCTAACCGAGAACTGTTGTGGGTTATCATGGCTGCTTTGGTTTGTCCAGCCTGACAGTATCACCCCCACGAACAAACCGTGAATCGATTTATTTAACACAGTAGTAGTACAATTCACAATAGAAAACCGTTTTATGATCATTGTGGATGCATCTTATTGCGCTATATTGTTCAACCGTAATGAATAATCGGTCACTGAAGATGAACTGATTCATCGGCATGTACACCCCACAGCCATTGAGTCTGTTAACTACGTCTCTCAAAAGCCGATTTACCTAGTCTAACTACCATTGTATTCCTTTTTCAGCTGTTGACTGGCCCGAAGAATCCAAAACAGCGCCCCTGTTNGATCTACCTACTCTATTCGATCATCCTATTTATCAGTGTGATTATCGCCACCTTCAACGATATCTTTGCACATGTGCGTGAACAGTCCGAGCTGGTGTACAACTTCTTACGCTATGCTGTCATTATTGAGTACGAATCACGTCCACTTCTACCTCCACCGTTCATCATAATCTCATGGATCCATCTGTTTGCACGCTATCTCTATCGGTACGTTTCTTCATCCCCTTTTTCGGCTTAATAGTTATATTATTCATGATTCTATATTTCACACTTATCTGAAGCCAGACTGTATGTAAAACAAATCACGGTACAGCAATCGTTCTAACAAAGTCATAGGTTCACCAGCAGAATGCAATCAGATTTCACACTTCAAAGCGGACAAA